AAAATATGGCAAAAATCACATAGCAAATTACTAGGGTTTCTTCAATCATTAGCCCTAGATTTCAACAAATGCATTTCTGATAAAAATAAAATGAACGACCAAGGCTTCATCAATCATTAGCACTTGGTTTCAGCAAGCCCATCATAAGCAAATAAAAATAAAAGTAAGGCCTCCAAGACATTCCAGCAATTAACTTTCATCATCCAGTAGTACTTATAAATTCATTCAAATGGCCAAGGGCTTCATCAATCATTAGCTCTTGACAACCAATACACACTTTCAAATACCAATCCATTCAAAACAAGAACAAAAACTACAACCAACTTGAGATCCAAATGATTCCAAGAATCTAAAATATCCATTAAACTTTCCACTTTTATTTGCTAGAATCACTATACATATAGATTATAATCTGTCCAAACCAAGCTAAAGTAAATAATACACAAATCCAGCAAATAAACTCACCAAAAGTCCCAACCAGTTCGGTCATGCTGGAAAAAATATTTTCCTTCAAAAATTGCTTTAGTTCATGTTCCACAAATCAAACAATTATGGAAATTATACTGTTGTAGAATAGATTTTTAATACTATCACATCCAAGAAGACACTTTTCAGAGATTCAAATCACAAATGGGCCAAATATTCTATCCAAGTCAAGAATTCAGTTTCCTGAGGAAACAGGACATTCAAACAGGACAGCCTACTTTGAGGAATCACGGACAGCAGTACACATGGAGGAAAAATATGAAATTTCTACAAAACAAAGGCCCATGACTCTAGTTTCAAATGCCACTGACGGCACCTCAATCGGATTTTCCTACACCAAGATATAAGCATTTTACTGAGACTGGTCAGAGAAATCCGAAAATCTGGAAACTCATTTTTCACTTGTGAAAAACTCCTTTTCCTCTTTTAAAACCATAAGACTCTTATTCAAACCATCATACATTTAAGTATGACATTCATACCAGCATATACCAAAGCAAATAACGCTTAATTCCAATAGATTATTCCACCAAAAAGTCCCCATAAATCTGTCATCAGCTAAGATAAAATTTGCCAGCAATTGATAGTTTATTTATATAGCTTTTGTTCCTAGTTTTCTTCAATTCTTACCTCAGCTCAACATGCAAAAGGTGATTAGCAAGCCTCAAGCAAATCTTAAACATCCAATACGAAAATCTGAATTGAAATTCGAAAACAAAACTAATTAAATGCTCACTTCCTTCTCTCGACCAAGCTGGAATATTTTGCAGCAGAAAATTTCCCTCGGTTTCAATCCACAATTCAACTTTTCCTCAGATTTTCTTCCATTAAGCTTCACTTAATACTTAAAGCTAACAATCTATATGCAATTCATAACAAAATTTTCCATTTGACAGCAATTACAAATGCAAACAAACATGAAGTCTCTCGGCCATTCCAGAAAATTTCCAGCAGCTAAGGTGTTTATAAATCCAATTTTCCTCAGCTAAACATGGTTTTAGATACCTAAATTAGTCATGCAAAAACTCATCTAGCTAATTAATATTTCCAATTCAAAATTTAACTTAAACAACAGCTGCAAATCCCCAAAATTTCCATAAATTCTGTACAGCTAGCTTCGGACAAACATGCATGCAACAGATTGCATTATTAGTTTATTTTTCTGGTTTAAACTAACTAATTAGCTGCATGCAGAGCCTAATTAACTTGTTATTAACTATCTAATTATGGTTATAAGCTTAAACAACAACATTAAACCAAATCAGGCTGCAAAAATTTAAGCTAAGCTCTCGGCAGAAATTTTTCCATCGAAACAGAATTTCCTAAGCTCCTTAATTCATCAATCAGCTACATAGAATTAACATGCAAGGTCCTAGACATCTTAATCATCAAGTTTTCACTCGGCTAATTACACTTGGGTGCTCAGATTGTCAAAATTAAGCAGGTTACAACTGCATTTTTCATCTCAAGCTCACAGCAGAAATCATTTCCTCCAAACAGATTTTCCTTTTCTTCCTCAATTCATCATCCGAACATATAAACCTCACATGCAAGTCCAAAGCTTGCTTATTCAACCTCTGATCAACCATTTTCAGTCCAGAAAATTTACCTCACTGAAGGCTCACTCACACGTCAAGGTGCTGGAGACTTTCCCTCTCTCGGCTCTCGGCTCGCGCACGGCTTCTGGGTTTGGTTGGTCTGAACTGTAATGGTTGTTGCAGCTGCAGTGGTGTCGTGATTGGAAGATGGTTGCAGCTGATGAAGGTTGAAGAGAAAATGAAGAGAACTCACGCACGACTTCTTCCTTTTTTCCTTCAGCTCACGGACAAAACCAGAGAAATACTTCAGCTCGCGGTTTTCCTCCTTTTCTTTTCTTGTCGATGATACCGAAGCTACGTCCCTCTCACTCTCCTTTCCTTCGATGGTCACGAGGTGGGGTGAAGTGAAGATGATTCGTGGGTGGAGGAGGTTGAGTATATGTGTAGAGGGAAAAGATTGCACTTCGGCAGAAATGGAAATGTGGTTTGAGATGTGAAATAGAAAGAATGGTATACGGTGCCGCGGTTTGTGAGAATGGTTTGCGTGTAAGAATTGGTTACGTAAAGAATTGGTAATAGCAAATGTGATTTGATTTGCGGTCAGAGGTTCCGTTTGGTTTGCATGGAATTGTAAGGGTATTTTAGTCTTTTCACTTTGCTCCCTAATCTCAACTTAATTTCTCAATTCCAACTTAATTCTAAAATTATCCCCAAGTGTGATTTGAACGCCTAAATATACGCTAGTATATTTAAACCATTTTTATCGAATATTTATCGATTACAATTTAATATTAAGGTTCCTAGTAATTCCTAACATTATTTAGCGATTAAATTAGTTATTAGAATTTCCAATTATTATTCCTCAAGAATTAGAGTTAGTCCAACTCGAAATTTATCGATTTAGTAATGTAAAGTCAAGTGAAATAATAATTTAATCCAAGGGTGTCAATTTGCACATAAAAGTATTCTTACGCACTTATTGCGAAAACAAAGAAAGATAAGGATATATTTATCGAAGTTTCACGCATTAAGTATGTTTAGTATATTAGAATCATATTTATCTAAAATTCATTGGTTTTCATCTTAACGCGAAAATTCCTATTAACATTTAACATTATTAACGATTAAAACTAGTTATCGGAAATCAAAGAATTTATTTTAAAGTAATAGAATTAATCCAACTTAAGAAATATTAATTTAGTATAGCAAAACCGAATAATTCAATATTGGCACAATTATATTATTTATTACATAGAAATTATCTTTACACTTTTATTTCAAAACAATTAATTACAACACTAGAATTCAAAGAAATTAATTGTTAGATCAACGAAATAGTTTACCATCGAAATATGAAGTTAATGTAACAAAACTAAGAAATTTAGTAGTCTAGCACAATTCTTTTATTTTGCACATAACGTTTATTTCTACGTACTTATTTAAAAATGATTGGACTTAGTGCTAAAATTTATTAAAGAATTAAAATGCAAATAAAATATGCCCTGATAATTATATGTCTATTTTCAGGGTTCTCACACTTCAGACAAGCAAGCTTCTCGAGAAGGTGAACAGAATCAATACTAGTAGTAGTAATGGTGCTATTTATGAAAGGTCCGGGTACAAAAACTTTAAGGGGGGTTTCTGTGATTAATCATAAGCAGAAAACTGCATCTGAAGGGCTGTTGGTTTCAGATGGTCGATGATGAAAGAAAGAAATCATAGGCTAAAAATCAGAGAGGGGCAACCACCCTTGAAGAAATCCCCAGTCTCTCTGATAGCCTCATTCTTCGCAGAGCTGAAATCTTAAGGCACCGTTTGGATCGAAGCAAAGGGAAAGCTGGAAAGGAAAGGACTCGTAGAGGCCCCATCTCCCTCTTGTGAGGACTCGCAAATTCCTTGTATTTTTCCTCAAAAATACCCTTTTATTTGAAAATTATTATTTGTCAAAGCCCACTACCCAATTATTTCACAATAAGTGTAAGTAAACCTAGAAAATAGGGTTTTACGCTTCGGTTTCAAGTTTGGAGCAAAATTAGGGTTTTCGCGATTTTTCGCCGGATGAATTTTCGGTACAGAGTAAGGATTAAATTTGAGGATTAAAAGTGACTTTTAAGTGAGAAATAATATGAGACTAGTAGCAATGATATAAGGTTAGTGAATGGGAATTAAAAACCCTAGTACGTGAGTTTTTAAGAAAAACGGCGCGAACCGGCGGGTCCCGCGCACTACCGATTGAACGCACCACTTGACCCCCACTTTCTTGCCATACAAGCTCATTAATATTTGAGCAAAATATCTCCTAAATTCCAACTAAGCCTGACCGAAATTAATGGCTGAAAATACAAGAAAGAAAAAGAAAATTTTACTTGGTAAGGTTTGTGACAAGTGTCACACCCTTAGTGGCCGACGAATTGGTTTCTGGTTTAGTAATTTGAGAATTTGACTAAGTTACATTAGGAACTGGACTAAGTGACCTTCATGAACATTGTAGCCCTGAGTCTTAGCTTCGAAACGGCATAGGTTACGTCTTAATCCGATAAGCGTAGCCTCGGCTAAGTTATTTCCTCTTTCATACGTCAAATCTGTCTTTTGCTAAATTGAAATTCTGCACTTGTTATTACTGTATTTCTTATTCTTATGATATTGTGAGCCTATGGAACGGCTCTTGACTTGAATTGCTTTAGTGTTGATGTTGGGTTGTGTGAGGAAAAATAACTATAATTGCCAAAAACCTAAGAATAGATAATATTTGAATTTTTTTTAAGATTTGAAAAGATATTTAACAAGTTCAAAATATATCAAAAGCATTCATTTACAACTAGTATTCTCGTTAGTTCCATAACCTTCACCTATGTTGAAAATACAACTTCTTTTGTTTTGGGTTCTTTTTTATGTTATTTCAATTTTTGATGGGCACTAGCACAATTTAAAAGAAATCATGGGCGGTCTTTTATAGTTGCAGAAAACCTAAGAGTGGACGTCACTCTAATTTACTCAAGCACAAAAGACACAAGGAGCCTTCAAAACGCGCAAGACTCATATACCATCACACCCCAAAGAAGTTGAAGAAGATATTTATGCTTTTCTGCAGGAGCTAGAGCTCATTTCATGTTCTTCAGTTCGATCCGGAGCCTAGTTTTATGTAATTTATGCTTTTCCCACGGATCGAGCATGTAGATTCAGCTCAATATTCGCGTTCTCGACCCTAATCAGGTAAAATTTCAAAATACTGAAAAACCCTAATTCATGTTGTGTTTCCCCGTGGTTTTTGGCAAAATAGTTCTAATTCGCTTAACATACCCATCAAATGTATTTCCTTTTACGATTTCATATTGTTTAGGCTATTATTGGATCATCTATTGTTCTATTGAGAGAATATATTAGGCGTATTGCATGTTTACCTGAATTGGGTTGTGATAAATTAATTGTTCATCGTTTTAGGGAAATAATTTATTTGATTTGAGATGATATCTACTGTTTCGCACTTGGTTTTGGGGGTTTTGCATTTTCGTTGCTCAGCGGGTGATGTTAGTTGCTTTAAAAGTAAGAATTTAAGTTAATGAGTAGAAATTTGTTGAAAGAATGTGAAAATGGAGAAAGGAGAAAAGATTTGGAAAGGGAAGTGATTAATTTCAAGTAAGGCAGTCTTTGGGCTTTTTAAGCTTTGATTCTACGCAGACATATGTTTCTGTTCTCCTTTTTCGTTTTTAATTTTCAAAGGTGACATTTTATCCTGAGATTTTATGTTTTCGTTGGTGCAAGTGATCTGATAGGAGACTTCTGTGTTGCAGTTTGAGTGAAATGGCGAATCCACCTAATGTGGAGCTGGAAGCGGCAAAATTCTTGCATAAACTTATTCAAGACTCTACAGATGAGCCAACAAAGCTGGCAACAAAGCTTTATGTGGTTTGTATACTCTTTTTATAAGATTTAGACACAGCTTGAATATTTTATCTGTTTCACGAGTATCGGGATTTGGAGTCTATGCTAATTTCTGTCCATGGATGATTTTAGATTTTGCAACACATGAAATCTAGTGGGAAGGAGAATTCAATGCCCTACCAAGTAATATCAAGGTATTTGTCTTGAGCTTCTTCCAAATCTGTTATGCTGCTTACTGCTTCCATGAATTGAGCTTTTCATGCCAAAATTCTTAGTAGTTTTTCATACTCCATCGTCGTGCATGTTTGGTACGTCTTATTGCTGCTTTGTCCATTTCTTTTGGGTGATTCTTCTTTTTTATAAGATATCATTTCTGTTTCTGTTTGGGTAAGTATAATATATTTATGCTTGTCAAAAAGAAAGGGCATTTTCATTGTATAACATTCTCTCAAACTTGGGATTAAAATGAATATTGAGGCTGTAACTACTAAAGTCATCCACTGGTTTACAATTGAACATGTACCACTAGTGAGGATCTTTACAAGATTTTTTATTTTTAATTTTTTTGTACCTGCAGTTGACTTATCATTGGTTTCAATGTTTTGTTTTTATTAATCCAAGGGCCATGGAGACTGTGATTAAGCAAAATGGCCTTGACATTGAAGCTTTAATGTCATCAAGGCTCCCTCTCGCTGCTGGACCACAAGCAGGAGAATCTGGATCATCCCATGTTGCAGGTACTCCCACAGTTAAATTGGTTGTGCAGCATGTATAATTTCTAGTTTTTTTCTGCGAGACCATTTGGCTATGCTTGATTGCAAGTTTTGGAAAATTAGAAATTGTACTAACTGCTATACTTGTTACCTGGCTAATGGGTATTGTGAATTGAAATTTTCTGAGTGAAATCAAAAAGGAAAAGATAAGGGGGAAAAAGCAGCCGTGTACCCCACCAAATTTGGATGATTTGGTGTTATTGAGTTGAAATAAAAAGTACTTAAGTAATTTTTTCTCCTCCCCAGTTGTATCTTCATCTCCTCCCCCACTTCTTACCACCATTTTTTCCCTGGCCTCTTGCAGTTGTCCCCCTCCCTTCTTCACTAGCCCTTATTTTCTAGGCTCTCCGCTGTTGCCATGGACCCTCTTCCTCCACAACCCACCAACCCACTCTAGTTGCTGTCATCCCTAAAGCCCCCTCCTGCTCATCCCCTTCCTCCTCATCCTGCTGTGAGTTTCCTGAAACCCCTAGTGCTATCTTCCCTCTCTCGATTGTTACTGCCTTTCTCCACCATCCCCCTGAAAAGCAAATTTTCGATCTCCAAAGTCCACTACTGGTTGATATCTAACCTTCACTTGTACTGTTGTCCCTGTGCTGCAACTTTAACTTGAAACTTGGAATGGTTGTGTGAGATTTGCTGATCCAGTTATAGTCCCCAGTTTTGTGAGTTGCTTTGTGAAACCCCTAGTGCTACCTTCCCCCTCTCGATTGTTATTGCCTTCCCACCCCCTGAAAAGCAAATTTTCGATCTCCGAAAGTCCACTACTGGTTGATCTCTAACCTTCACTTGTACTGTTGTCCCTGTGGTGCAACTTTAACTTGAAGCTTGGAATGGCTGTGTGAGATTTGCTGATCCAATTATACTCCCCAGTTATGTGGTGGCAGTATTCAGTTGGAAGAATGATAATAGAAACTATTTTAGTTTGATACCAATTCTTTCAAAAACTGACCAAACATTAGTTATTTTGATGATTCTGTAGGCCCAATTTATACTGATTCTTTGTATATGATTCGTACTATAATGTCTATTCCCAGGCCTAAACCACAAGCACTGCATAAAATGATGCATGTGTTGGTAATGGAATGGCTGTTTTTATAATGCTTGGTAGAGCTGTTAAGTCAATCGAGTAGCTCGAAAGCTCGTTAGAGCTCGACTCGTTAAGGCTTGAGTTCGGCTCGTTAATTTTGGTTAACGAGTCGAGCTCGAGCTCGAAACATGCTCGTTTAGTTAACGAGCCGAGTAGCTCGTTAACATGCTCGAAACATGCTCGTTTGATACTCGAGTAGCTCGTTAGAGCTCGTTAATGAAAGGCATATTTGTCATTTTAGGAATCAAAATTATAAAAACTAAAAATTATAGGTTTTTATTAAGGTTAATTTGCACGAGCTCGAGCTCGAGCTCGTGAAGCTCGACTCGTTTGTGATAAACGAGTCGAGCTGGAGTTCGAGCTCGAGCCACATGTACATTTAACGAGCTGAGTTCGAACACAATTTAAAGCTCGTTTTCCTAACGAGCTCGAGTCGAGCTCGGCTCGAATTAAACTCGAGTCAAGCTCGGCAGCCAAATACTCGGCTCGATTAACAGGTCTAATGCTTGGTGGTTATGGTACTACAGGTTCTTCACAGAGGACGGGGGTTATAAAGGACCCCAAGTCAAGCTTGACTGCAAATGAGATGTCTAAAACTGATTCCTATAGCTCAGGCGTGTCGCTTGTTGGTCCAACTGCTGCTGGGCATGATATATATCAAGGATCAGCCAATATGATGGGTAAGGACTTGTGTCTGCTGATGCAGCTTTTTATTGGGCTGACATGGCTTTTCTATTTGTAAAATGTTTCTGCTTTAAAATAAATGTGGGAGAACATGGTGTAGAATGGTATCAAATGAGTTAAAAGGAACCAAAAAAATCTATTCAAGAGAATCAATTAAACACTAAAAAAAAGGTTACATATTTGCTAGTGCTTGTAACTACTTGATATTGCTAGGAGCTTTTAGGATCAAGGAGGAATAAGATGTTACACCATGCATCCATGCTTTAGAATGAGAAATTTGCAGTTAAGTTGATGTTGTCTGCCCTGTCTACATGAGTTTCCACTGCAACATGTATGTATTAAGTGCTCAAGAGTGAAAGGCCATTTTCAAAATTTGTATTCCACAAGCAAATGATATTTTTCTGGCCCGAATCACAATTACTCCCTGAAGAGAAGATGTATTAATGACTAATGAAGCTATATTAACAGCTGGAAGATTTGGATTGCATCAGGTCTTATGGATTAAAACAATAGAAGTTACAATGGAGGCATCTAGGTTTACTTGTTTCTGGATGCTTATGGATGTAATCTGACAATAAAAGTTGCAATTGCAGTTATGGAATCTTTAGTGATAAGAAGATTAATGTCTTCTTCGGCTCACATTCATCTCTTACTGAGCACTCAAAAGACTTTCATTAATTGCTGCTGCTCTTCATATCCTCTTCCTGTGAAAATTGAAATCTTTTGGTATTGCTACCTCAAGTTTGAACTCTCATTCCAAAATCTTTTGGCTGCTACGCTTTTGATACATAAGTTTCCACCTAGTTTTGTCCACGAAGGTGGATTGGACCACCAATACTATTTGCAGCTTTGCAAGTTGTTGATCTTTGCATCAGTGACCTGCCTGCTCTGTCTTTGTTTAACTGGTGGTCATTTCCAGAGATAAAAAGGTGAAAAGTCCCCACCAAGGTGGCACAAGTAGGCTGTCTGAGATTGTCATATGTTGGTCTTTTTAGACCATTTATTGTTTAATGCTGCTTTTGAATTTCTTTCAAATAGTATTATCAAAATTTGGTGCAGCTATATTCCATTCTGATTGATTAGTTGTAATTTTTTTTTTGCTATCAGTTCCTGTTTGTTTTAGTGTCTTTTTTTTTTTTTAGCACCTATTGAATCTAAACTTTCCATTGAGGTTTCAGGTTGAGCCAGGTTAGACCTGGACCAAGTTGTATAGAATCTAGTTAGCTTTTTGGTTGCAAGAAACTTGATGTCGATAAGATGTTAGAATTCTGTACATTTTGTTGAATTTTGTTCTTCTTTCCTTCAAATTGATGCTAATTGATTTGTATGCAAAAGAATGAAGCAGAAAAAATAAATGGATGATATTCATTTACGTATCTTATTACCAGTTTGATGCTATTGATAGTAGGCAGAGCTGATGTTTCACAGGTGTCATTGTCAACTTATAGTTATGTCTGACTGGTGAGGCATTTTCAGGTGGAGCTGGCAAGGTACGTGGACTGACACCTGGTGCTACTGCTTCATATCAGCCAGTAGAAGCAGGGATGTCAGTACCTATGCAGTTTGCAAGTTCTTCATTTGCTAATCAGGGTTTTGCTGCAAAGATGAATAAGGATGGAATGGAAGCTTTTGCAGCTGCACCATCAATGGATCTTTATGCAGGCAAGAACATTGCTGGAAAGATAATGGAACATGAAGGAACCAGTCTACCTATTCCTAATAAGTTAAATCAGGTATTTTTTTTATTTTTTTATCATGTTTCTTTAATTAATTCTATCATCTTTTTTGCTCACAGAATGTCTCCTATGCTGAGAAGTTGTCCGTTTCTTCTACATATATTTTTGGTATATGAGTTTCAATTTTGTTGGCTTTCGTTAAGCTGCGGACAGTATTAATTTAGATGTTGTCATCAAGTCTCAAAACTCTCAGGTTGTCACGGGTTTATTGAAAGAAAATGACACAACAGCATGAATTTTGTAGTTGAGCTATTATGTTCCAGTTATATATCCTTGTCAATGCTAACTGAAACAGTGAGTTTTTTTCTCCATCCTTTCCTGGAAATTGCCAGGTGTAAAAATTAAAATTGAAATTGTAAACTGCTTTGGTTGCACAAGCTTTCAACCATATGTACAGACAGCTCTTGATTGTAGTAGACAGCATATTTAGTACTGGAACCGGTCACTAACAAGCTGGCTGGCTTCTGGTTCTCCATCCTTTCCTGGAAATTGCCAGGTGTAAAAATTAAAATTGAAATTGTAAACTGCTTTGGTTGCACAAGCTTTCCAACCATATGTACAGACAGCTCTTGATTGTAGTAGACAGCATATTTAGTACTGGAACGGTCACTAACAAGCTGGCTGGCTTCTGGTTGGTGTTTATTTGTACTGTACAAGTGTTTTGTTTTCTGTCTCCTGAGTCTTTTTCTGGCTCCAAGTTGAGCAGAATGTAGTAGCGGAACTTCTTTCTAGATGAAGAATACAGTCTCATCTTTTCAATCTCCAGCTGTGATTTGAATTTTCTGGTGCTTATTTTCCTGTTTATCTTTTAAGCTGTAAATGAAATGATCAGCAGTCTGCTTTGTCAAAATTTCTGCTTTTAGTGGTACTAAATTTTTCTTTGACTAGAGAAGTGCATAATTGTGGTCTATAGATTTAGCTGGAATATGATTGTAATGTATCACAGGGGGCAATTCCAAGTAACGTTCCAGAAACAAGTATGATACCAAGTTCAGCTTTAAGAGATACTGGAAAATCTCCTGTTGCTCAGGCTCCTGTTTCTGGCTTGCCTTTTAAGGAACATCATCTGAAACAGCTTAGAGCTCAATGCCTTGTGTTTTTAGCTTTCAGGTGAAAGTTGTGCTCTTGTATTTTCTCTAGCTTTTCTAAGAATAACATCTTCTGAAGGCGTTAGATTCTTGAAACCATATAATTTTATGCAATTCTGATTTCTATGCGCAGAAATGGTTTGATGCCGAAGAAACTTCATCTTGAAATTGCTCTTGGAAACTTCTTCCCTAAAGAAGGTTGGTAATACTTATTATCATTACAGTGGTCTTTCTAACTTAAACTAATAGGCTGTTCTTCAGAAGGAGCTCGCAAAGAAATGATTGATCATAAAGGGAAAGAGCTGTCTGTTAATGAACCGACAACTGGAGTGCTTGATAACACAAGGGGTGCACTTTCTACAGGGCCTCAAGCAGGAGGAAATTTTTTAAAAGATGCCGATAATAATGCAAGCATGAAGGAAGATAAAAGTGGTTACCATGCCATGCCATCTGAACATGCTGAAGATAGCAGACAGCATTCAGCTTTAAGAAGGAGATTGGAGGCTGAAATGCCAAAGCAAGAAACATCAGAATCACAGGCATCTTCACTCAGAGGTATACAATCTGATTCTAATTCAAGGAGTATACCTGTTAGTATTCATGAGGATGATTCAGGGAACAATCATCAACAAATTGTAATTTCACACCATGCTCCCTTAGTCACGGGAGAAGTAAGACAATGAAGCATGATGTAAGTTTTTGGAATGGAAATGGATGCCAAATGGAGGCTTCAGGTCTGACACATGCATCACAACAACAAAGAAAAGAGAATTTTGCTAATCAATGTCAGAATGCCGCTGAAAGCAATGGTCTAGGACATCGAGATACCGATAGTGACTTGCCTAGTGTACCATTAAGGGAACAGTGGAAACCTATTTCAGGAATGGATGGCCAAAATAACATACTAATGCCGGTGAAGGATTCTGATATAGTACTAAGAAATGTTTTGCCAGGTGAAGTTATGCTTTTGACCTCAGTAGAATCGGATATAAAAACTACACTTATTTGCTATGTTTCTTAAAACTATGTTCACGATATTCTACACTTATTTTCTATGATACTATGTTTCTTAAAATGAATATGATTTGATTTCATAAAGCCTGTCTTTTGTTGTCGGCTTGCTTTAGAGGATAAAAACAAGTAAAATCATTTTGAATCCATCTTTTTGGTTGGCACCTTTTTTGAAAACCTTTTGTTACTTATTGATGGTTACTCCTGAGAAAATGAAAATGCTTTACAGCACAAGAAACTGATACAGAAGAGGAAGATGCTCCTGCAAATGCTGATAGGCCTCCATCTCCAAAGTATACAACATCAGAAAAATGGATATTGGATCGACAGAAAAGGAAACTTCTCAATGAGAAAATGTGGGCATTGAAACAGCAGAAAACAGAGCAGAAAAAGATTGCTGTTTGTTCTGCCAAGCTAAGGTGGGTGATAATCTTATGCTTCTTTCTTGATCATTGAATTTTGCAAAGATTTTGATGCTTGTATCTCTAGTAAACTTTTGTTATCAATAGGAAATTTTGGTTTAAGTTGCTATCATGACTAGTCTGCTGATTATTAAGAAGTTCCTCTTTGATGAAGATTTGGAATCTGGCAGTTTAATAGTAGTCTACCAGAACTTCAGAAGATTCCATATATTTTTCCTCGTGCAAATAGTTTTGCCAAGACAATTAAAAAAGTCATACAGGATGCTAGATCATCTCTCCGATCATCAAATGCCTGATTTTGAGGCTATAAATCCCATAATGTGCTAATTTTTTTGTTGATACTTGCATAATGATATTTTAGCATGTAAGATCTTTCAAAGGACATGAATATTCTTGTGGTAACTATCAGTTCTAGTGTATACTGGTATCTCCCCCTTCACCCCTTGAAGTCTTTTATTGTTATTACTGTTGTTGCTATTGTTGAATCCAAAATGAGGGTATAATTGTTATTATTAAATCCAAAATGAGGGTATAAACCTTCTGGGCTGCGCTGCCTTTTCATGTGGATGCTCAAAAAACTCTGTGCTCAAAAAATCTTTAGAAATGACAAACATGACTGAATAAACTATGAACAATTGACATGGATGCTGGATTTTGATGACTTGCATCTGTAACAGCAGGATTAGTGTTGAGGCATTAATAAAGGATAATGTTGAATGATTAAGTTATTGAAGAACAAAATAAAGAAGAATGAGGTAAGCAAAGTTAAGGTATCATGGTGGGTGTACGTTTTTGCAATCATTTACGCACAATGAATGTTAAGTAGGTTTAGGGTGGTTAATGGTCATCATACTATGCCTTCTTTATTATTCTCAGTGGACTTGATTATAGAAAGACTTGCCAGAGTAAAGAAGTACAAGTCCATTGTCTTTTTTTGGCCCAGGCAGAGGACTTTCTCATCGTTGTAGGCAGTGTTGTTGACAGAGTTTAAAGCTTGAACCAGAAAAGCCTAAGTATACGGTCTTAGGAACTACATAGGTACTAAACTGATACAGTACCTCGTACATTTCTATGTTAGGATTATGTATCTTGTTCTGAATGTGATAGATCAGTTTGCTTGTCAATTATTATTAGAATTACTTATTTTGGTAAAGAAACTTAAAATTCACAATAGCCACCGTCATTGGTAAGGTGCTTAATATGGATGTGTGGTTGATAGGAAATTCCTTTTTTTATTCTAAGAATGTTTGATTGAAATTTGCAATATGTCATTGGCATGATTATGAATGAAATTTCTGTGAATCAGTTGCTGATTCTGTTCTTCGAGAGATGGTAATCAAGTTGGGTCTATATATGTCTAGAATGAATATTAAAATTTAAGGATCTTTGGATTTTCTGCTTGGAAATAAGATAGGTGTAAGTTAGTCTTGCATGTTTCAAGTACAAGATCACAGTCTTAAACTTTTAAACTGTCCATCAGATTGTTCGATTGACGAGAATTTTGACTCTGTAACTGAAGAAACAGATGAATTTTTTGCAGAGGTCTATTTGTGTTTAGGAATGAGGTTTGATTCCTCTAATAAATAACGCATGGAAAAAACACTTTTTTCTTAAAATTTTATTGTTCTATAATTTTATTTTGCCTTGTTTGTGAAAGCGTCAGCTTCTTTCCGTCAAAGTTCAGATTTGAGTTTCTGGGTATGTGTCATTTACTTAATGTTATCTGTTGTTCAGTGATAAAATGGGTTTTATGTCCTATTAGGTTAAAAATGTGTGTGACAAAATTATGCATATATTGCAGGAAAGTGTGAGTTCTTCTGAAGATATTTTTGCAAAAACAAAAAGTGTGATTGAATTGAAGAAGCTTCAGTTATTGGAATTGCAACGTCGTCTTCGGAGGTTTTTTATATTTCCATTCGTTATTCAAATTTCTATTTTCTTGTGGTCCTTTCTGATTTTTCTTTCCTTTCTTTTTATGGTTTTTCTTTTACTTCGTCCTAATATGCTTTGTTGACAATGTGAAACTTTATTGGGCAGTGACATTTTGAATGACTTTTTCAAACCAATAGCACCTGAAATGGACCGTCTCAAGTCGATCAAAAAACATAGAATTGGAAGGAGATCAAAACAACTTGAGAGGTATGAACAGAAAATGAAGGAAGAGCGACAAAAGAGAATTCGTGAGAGGCAGAAGGAATTCTTCAGCGAAGTAGAGGTTCATAGGTATGTAAACTGCTGTATGTTGAATCTTTCGCTTTTGTTTTTGGAGGATTTGGCTACTCAAACTGGTTCAATTATGTCTTTTGACAAACCAACTTCAGGGAAAGACTGGAAGATGTATTCAAAATGAAAAGAGAACGCTGGAAAGGTTTCAATAAGTATGTGAGGGAATTCCATAAGAGGAAGGAACGCATACATCGAGAGAAGATTGATAGGATCCAGCGTGAGAAGATTAATTTATTAAAAATCAATGACGTTGAGGGGTATCTTCGGATGGTCCAGGTATAGTATGGCTTTATTACGATTTTCCTTGAGGCTAAGATTAGGTTGTTGTACTTACTATGCCCGCAATGGACTTACAGGATGCCAAATCAGATCGTGTAAAACAACTACTTAAAGAGACTGAAAAATATCTTCAAAAGCTTGGAACCAAACTGCAGGAAGCAAAGTCAATATCAGATCGATGTAGATGAGAGCAGAACAGCTACTACTGTGGAGAAAAATGAGATTTCAGTTGAGAATGAAGATGAAACAGACCAAGCAAAGGTTTCTGATTAAGATTTCAAAATGTTCTGTTGTGGTAGAATAATTTATTTTTTTCCCTGGCTTATTTGTTTGTGATCCCATTTTGTAGCATTACTTGGAAAGCAATGAGAAATACTATATGATTGCTCACAGGTAATAATTCTAGCTTCTTCTCAGAATGGTAGCAATCTACTTAGCATTTTGGTAATCCTTGACTTCAACTGTTTTGGTAGTGATAATGTGCAATTTAGCTGTCAAAATATTTGCATCTTATTTTATTCTGTACTTCTTTTACTGACAATATTGTATTTTGCATAGTGCATTTTGGATTTCTCAAGACTTTTATTGTAATTCTTCCAAGCTATAGGATATAATTTTATCGAGGACTCTTTCTTCTGCAGTGTAAAAGAGAATGTATTGGAGCAGCCAACCATTCTTGTGGGTGGGAAATTAAGAGAGTAAGTTATATGTTTTACCAGCATTAATTAACTTTATTGCAAGCAAGTCTATAATCTTGTTGGTTGCACGGGATTGAAGCTTATTATCTTGGGCACAGGGTTACTTTAAAGCTCTCTGGTGTATGCATTGTTTCATTTTATTTTTGTTTTGTTTCAGATACCAAATGAATGGGCTTAGGTGGCTGGTTTCACTTTACAACAACCAATTGAATGGTATTCTTGCTGACGAAATGGGCCTTGGTAAAACTGTTCAGGTACAAGCAGATTTACAGAAGTTAATTTTTACTGTTCTTCCTGACAGCATTCAGGTCATGTCACCAAAAAATTAATTCTGCTATCTCGAGTCAAATCATGTACCAATCCTTCATTCTAAGAATCAACTATATTGGTTGCATGAGCTGAAGGATTTTAGTTTCAAGCAGATTATGGTTTTTGTTGAAGGTAGACTTTTTTGATGGGTCTACTTTTGCAGGTTATTTCTCTTATGTGTTACCTCATGGAGACTAAATATGATAGAGGACCTTTTTAGTAGTTGTGCCTTCTTCTGTGCTACCTGGTGGGAGTCAGAAATTAGCTTCTGGCACCAGGCATCCACAAAATTGTGTATTCTGGACCACCAGAGGAGCGGCGTAGGCTATTTAAGTAAGTGTGAATGTGTTTCCTTTTCCTTTTTCTCTGATATTTATGTAGGCAAAAGGCTTTGCTTGAGGATTTCATGTTGTCCTTGACAGGGAACAAATTGTTCATCAGAAATTTAATGTTCTATTGACGACATATGAGTATTTGATGAACAAGCATGACAAGCCAAAACTGAGCAAAATACAATGGCGTTATATCATCATCGATGAAGGGCATCGTATAAAGAATGCTTCCTGCAAGTTGAATGCGGACTTGAAGCACTACAGAAGTAATCATAGATTGCTGTTGACTGGAACTCCGCTGCAGGTTTAATCCATGTTCATGTTATATGCGAATTATTTGTGTAGCACAAGGGTTTCATTTAGTTCATGCTCCATGGAATGCTACTACTTGCTTCAGTCATTCACTCCATTTCTTTTCTGTTTAATCTTTCTTTAAATGTTTCTATTCTTGTTTTTAATTTAATCCTATGTATATGCAGAACAATCTTGAGGATGAGCTTGGGCACTGCTCAACTTCTTGCTGCCAAATATTTTTAATTCTTCAGAGGACTTCTCCCAGTGGTTTAACAAACCTTTTGAGAGTAATGGCGACAATTCTCCTGATGAGGTAAGCTTCTTTTGGTTTGTGGTTTCTTCTAGTTATCTCCAATTATAGCACTTCATCTTTTCATGCTGCTTCCTGATTTACTTAATCTGGGAGCTCCAGGTGTCTTGAAAGATGCGTCATTGTTTAACTTTCATAAATAAATGGCCTTGTAGTTCTGACACTTGAAGTTCTATTCCAGAGTTGATTCCATAAGTACAGTTTCCTTGTAATATTTGGTTCATAAGGGTGTTTAACCTATAGTGGTTGTTTTTGATTGTCATATAATATACTTCCAAGCTTTTGTTCTTTGTGCTCATCAGGCTTTACTATCTGAGGAAGAGAATCTTTTGATCATAAATCGCCTTCATCAAGTTTTACGTCCATTTGTCCTTCGGCGATTGAAGCACAAGGTTAGACCTATCTATTGTTACATAGGAATTTTCTGCTGTATGAGGTGTAATGTCCTATATGGGATAGCCTGCATCCATTTGCTTCTACTGTATCTTATATCTGTGTGCCACCTTTGCATGGATTTTCTTACCAAATATGTGCTTTGCGCTTTCTTGTGATTCTTGGCATGCAAGGTGGAAATGTTGGAATGAGTTTAGGCATTTTGTTAAAAGCTTAGCAATCATCTCTATTATGCTTTGTGGAGAATGCATGGTTTTATTTATTTTCATAACATTTCTTCAGTGGTTCATTGAATGTGGTAGGTTTCTGACCTAAATACTTTAGGTCCAAGCTCAAAGTGTTTCATGGAGAGTTAATCATGTTATGTCAAACAAGTTTTAGGGAAAAAATGGGAGAGAGAAAAAAGGAGGGCAGATGGAGAATTGTCGCTGGACTGAAATCTTCTGGAAACCGTATACTTTTCTGCAGGAGAATTTTTAGACATGGAAGAGAACTTTTGTGAGTTGTATATTAGGATACAGTATATTTGAGTTCCGTGCTGGTAGACTGCACAATTTTTGTAGTTTTGGGGTGGAAAGCAAAAAATTTCGCACACTGCTCATAAATTGCAGCAGGCGCTTGTCCATGACAGCGCGCTCAACTTCTGTTTCTAATTATATGCATTAATGAACTCTGACATGAAACACTTTCCTGTATTGAACTGTTGTACTAAGGCATGCATGCCTTTTTGTTGTCTTCTTTATTGAGGTGGTTTCTTAATTGTGTGGGCTATAAATTATGTATCTTCTACCATTTTTAATTCCCTCCTTTATGGGGAAGAGGAAGTTTACAATTAAGAATTAAATTGCATAAGCAAATATTGATATTGTTCGTATTGTCCTGGTAAAGTTTGTGAATAATTATCTTTGCCAAAAACGGAAAGAAACTATGTTTATGCCAAGAGCTGACTTGTCATTATCATGTTCATTTATTTATGGTTCTCTTCTATATTTATTATACCTATTGGTGGAGAATAAATATCTATTTATTTTTGGCCTGCATCCAAAGGCTGACTTGCTTTGTTATCCTTGTTACTTTCTAATGCTATCTGTAGGTTGAAAATCAGTTGCCTGAGAAGATTGAGAGATTGATTAGGTGTGAAGCATCTGCCTATCAGAAACTTTTAATGAAGAGGGTAGAAGAGAATCTTGGTGCAATTGGAACATCAAAGGTTTGTTCTGGTTGTACCTTTTTTATTTTGTGAACACTATTATGCCACTCATGATCAATGTCTGTGAAGTACGTATGATATATATGCTAAGTATGCATATGTATCTGTTAAATGGTCTAGGCAGTGTCAATAAGATGGATGGATGCCCTGTTTGTTAGTGAATAGTAGCATGAATGGTGATGGCAAGGTTGAGACGGCATGCCTACTTCATTGTGAAAATAGATTTACAAAAGAAAAAGAATTTTATGGGAACTGAAGAGATAGGATAATTGTTGATGAAGAATTATTTATATCTTATGATTACTTTAAAGCCAAACAGATTGTCACCTTATTCTGTGATATATGGACTTCCTCTTCCCTTGACTTTTAATTAGAGCAAAAAATGTGCACCTGGTATGCTGAACCCATTTGATCAGTATTCTTATAGGTAGTTTGTGTTTATATTTAAATGTGCTTCCCATGGGCTTTTCGTAGCAATCATCTTCATAAAATTATTTCTCTGTATAACTAGGCCCGATCGGTGCATAACTCTGTGATGGAGCTCCGGAACATCTGCAATCACCCCTACCTTAGTCAACTTCATGTAGAAGAGGTAGTTGCTCTTTCTGTCAATTGTGTCCGTGTTCTGGTAGCTATGTACTCATGGTCATTATTTTTGGTTGTTTTGAAATTGAGTCATGGTCAGTATGTAACATAAAAGTTGTGCAGTGAGTTCTCTTTCTTGTACAGTGCTTGGATAAGAAGTTAATCTGTTCCTCCTTTTGACATTCTTCATGATGCATGTTATCATTGCTTGGAAGTCGAAGTGTTTTGTGTTCTTTAATTGATTTTGTTATAGATGTAGAATTTGGGCTTATCCAGAGAGAGAATCTCCTCTGCCATAGATGTAGGAAACTCAATCGGCTAAGTCTAGTGTATAGATTATGTAACATTATTATGTGGAGATGAAATGTAGGTTGAAGATGTCAGACTAAGCTAATTGATGGAAATGTAAAACCATTTTTGTGCTGTCTTTTGTAATCTTTAGGCTGTGTAGATTGAGTATTTGGCAAGAACAGTTTTCCAAATACAAGTCTACAGGAACATACCCCCAAAACTCCAAATACACCTACCAAAAAATCAAAGAAATAACTATTAAAAAAAATTACTGCCCCTTTCTTCCTTCACGACCCCACCACTCTTTCCCTGCACCACCACCCCTGCCACCTTGTCCCTCCCTCCAAAAGCCCATCACCACCCCCCTGCAGCCACACCCTCGCTCTTCCTCTTTCTCCATCTTTCCCTCTTCCCCTCCTCTTCCCCACTTCCTCCTCCCTCCTCTCCTGCTGCTCCCCCACAGCCACTCCTCATCCCTTGCCACCTTCTCCCCCACTCCAGATCTGGATCTGGGTCACTAGATTAAAGTACTTGACTCTTTGAAACCTTGTTTTGATATGATGAATTGTTGTTATTGTCAAGTCCAACACACACTATTTTGTCCTCATTTTTTTTATATTGGTTTACACAAGGTTCATGACTGGATACCGAAGCATTATCTGCCAACCATTATAAGACTTTGTGGGAAGCTTGAGATGCTAGATCGCTTATTGCCCAAACTAAAGGCAACTGATCATCGGGTATGTAGACATTTGCATATATTTCCTTTGACCATGGTCTACTAATGCTCCCTGACATATGTTTGAATTCTTTACTGGCTTGATTTCCTTGATTTTATCTTTTCTGAAGTCTTATTATGGTTATGTCAATATTGATTATGTTGAGCTTTTACAGAAAAGATTAAAAACTAAGGGGCCTTTTGTTTCAATGTAAAAAATTTCTTTGGGAAAATAATTTCAACAAATCATTTTCCAGGAAAATATTTGTTTTCTCAATTTTTATGTGTGTGGTTAATTTTTTGAAATATATTTCCATCAATAATATATCCATTAGACATACCTGTCACCCTTCTCTCCTGCCTCCACCACCACCAATGTTACACCACAACTACCACAGACAACTCTCCTCAATTACTTCTATACTACCAAGAAGATAACAGCCACAAGAAGAGCTGAGATTACTGTCCAAATTAACCTTGATCAATATTGAAGAATTAAATAAGACATGAAAATAGAATCAAATTTCACAAGACAGTTTACTGCAAAATCTGTTCAAAGATCTCATCAAGAATCATGATGCAAATTGCAAAATAAAAATCTGGAAAATTGATAGTGAATGGTGAAATTTTCATCCCTTCCTCTATAACGGATCTGGAAATTTCATTTCTTTTCTATAAAACTCTCCTTGAATTGTCTTCTTTAGCCAATCCGCATCTTTTCCTATGCAGATCCTATTTCCATTCATTAAATCTAATTCATTTTTGCTGGCCTCCCATGAGAATGTTTTGGAGGATGTGCAATAGGTGAGCTTTTGATTGTATGTAGGGAAAGAAGAATATGAAATTAACAGAGTGGCTGGAGGCAAAGGTGTTGGTGACGTTGCCGGCGAAGTATGCCAGAGCAATTTCCTGAAGGCTTATGTCTAAGTTGTGGTGACGGAGTACTACTTTTTTGAAGAGACAATAGATGCCACAAACAAAGGCCAAAGATACAAGAAGTGTAGGTGGAAAATAACTTCAGAAGGTTCACAACTGAAGTTATTTTGCATCAACTGATGTGAAAGATTTTGCAAGGGAAATGATTTTCTCTGGATTAATTGAATCAAACACTGGAAAATTAGGAAATTATTTTCCGGAAAAGATTTTCCTTTGAAACAATCAGACCTCAACTGCTGTTTTGCAAGCTTGAATTTTTGAACTCCTGATAATGTTCAGCTTACTGACTTACAATAGATGAGTATATATTTTTAATATTAATTGAAGGTTCTCTCTACCCCATTGCTTTTTAGAAATACTTATTCTTGTCATCATGTTTCCTTCTAATGTTCTGTTCCCCTTGAGTTTTCTTCCTAGGGCTCGTAGATGAGGAGATAATTTAAAGAAAGTGTGCTATTCTACTGTTTTCTTCTCAGTCTCATGATATATATTTGTGGTTCTCTGTGTATTTTGTTTTCGATGTTGGAGTTAGTTGGAAATCAGAACCTGAAAGTCTTCAAATTTGCAGGTTCTTCTCTTCTCAACAATGACTAGGCTGCTTGATGTCATGGAGGACTATCTTTACTGGAAGCAATATAAGTATCTACGCTTAGACGGACACACATCTGGAGGGATCGAGGAGCGCTGATTGAGCAGTTCAATCAACCTGGTTCTCCATTTTTTATATTTTTACTTAGGTAATCAGCTGCCTGGGCAGCCATCTAGAAGAAAAATGAATTAACAAAGTCTATGTCAAGTTAAGCACTGTGAACAGATTTTCAAAAATTAAATAATGTTGCTATCGAGTTGACATGCTTAATTGCTGGCAAGGAATTCTGCAGATGACTTCCACTTAAGAGTCCAAAGTGTACAGGATTTGTTTGCATACCAAAGGGAAGTTTGCTTTCTTCTATTATTGGTGAACGCTATCTAAGGGTTGGTTTAAATTATCCCCTTGCAGTATATTAATTCAGAGGTAATGGTACCTGGTTTCATTTTTGGAGCCAAGACTCCTTGGAAGACATAGCAAAGTTGAGACTTCTATTTGTGTGCTACTAGGTTGGCGGAAGAATAATATTAAGAGTTACTGTTTGATTTAAATGCTAGCGCATAGAGTATTTTAATTTGGTTCAGAAGACTTCAAGTATGTCTTTAGGACTGGTTGCATAGATCCTGTTAATCCCTTTTTTTTCTCATTTTTTTCCCCGGTAAGCCATAGACTACCTTAACCTAACCCTGCCTTATCCCTTGTAATTTTGAATAACTTGGGGAAGCTGTTCGTTCAATATAAGCAGAATTGCTGACCATTTTAATAAGCATGTTTAGTTTGAGTTAGAGAAAATAAAATAAAATAATGATCTATTTCATCTTACAAACAAAAGATAATCTACTAATTGCAAAGATACCAAATAACCTTAGTCGTATAAGTATGGGATAAAATAATTTTTTTTTTAAACTGAATTCATTAGGTTTCTTTCCAAGATATATGATCTCTTAGTTTAGGAAAAACAGATAGAATTGTCTTATAGAAAAGATTTTTTATTTGCCTAAGTAAATATTATTGCTTACAATAGGGTTGATTTTGTGATGATATTGGGACAATTTGGAGGCTTTGTCCTCTGATTTCTTAAGATACACCCTTGAGGAGTCTCAGAAGACCTAAGTGGTTTGCTTGGGCAATTTTTCATATGTGTCTTCAGAGAAGCCTGGCCTTTTATTCACGTTATTCTATTGCATGTGCACATATTCTATAATTCATGCATACACAGTTTTCTGCTGCTTATCAAGGTGTGTACCAAGCATTTTGTAGGTTCATGGAGACAAAGCATGAAAGTTTTGCCCTGTTTTATCTTTATATCCCTCTACATGCATTGTGACATGTGCTATGCGGTCTCTCTAACAATAAACTACTTCATGTCTTACCAGTATTCGAGCTGGAGGTGTTGGGGTTAATCTCCAAGCTGCTGATACTGTGATAATTTTTGACACAGATTGGAATCCTCAGGCAATTTATTGATGCAACTCCTTGATTTTTCCATCATTTGAACTTCAATGTTTATTTCCTAAAACGTGTTAATCCATTTCTACTTTCACACAGGTTGATCTGCAAGCACAGGCAAGAGCTCATAGGATTGGACAAAAGAGAGATGTTCTTGTTCTTCGACTTGAAACGGTAAATCACTTGATCGCTTGTTTTATCAATTGTAGTTTCTTCTCAAGAATGAATAAATTACTTGTTTGGTGATGGGTGGTTGCTCTTATAATGTGATACTTGGTTACCTTTGTGATATACCTAAAATCTCAATCTTGTTCCTGTTGGCTCTTTTTGGACTTTATCAGGTGGTTTGAGTTGCAGTGTTTTGAAACAGTTCACCATTTATTGATAAATGTTACAATCTCAACTGCATAGATTTCTGACCATTTTTATCCTTTTCTTCTTATTGGTTTGTCGAATATATGATGTTCACTGAACTCTCCCTCATTGACAGTTTGCTATAGTCGCTTCTTTATAGTAGATAAATACGTGCATGTAATACAAATTGGAGAAAAAATGTAGTGAAGATGTTTGGAACGCTAGGTATTTACTGAGGCTCATAACTAAATTTCAAAATTTCATAAAACAAATGATAACTTTTTTTTTTTTGGATAAGAATGAGAACTATTATTTTGCTTGGCATTTATTGAGAATTTAAGTTCCAATTAATTTGATCTAATAACAATCACGACCTTGTGGTATTTGTAGAAATTACATGTGTGCAGCATATACGTTCAAATTATTAATTGGGAAAATTGCTCTGTTGTCTAATTGTTTTAGAGGCACATACATATTTGTGGGTGTCTGAAAAATAGATGTTGTGATGTAAGGCAAAGCCTGAATAAGTCTTAGTAAACAAGATAAGCTGTATGTGTACGTGAATCTTGGCATTTATTTGCTGCCTTTAAACTCTGTAGAAATTGGATGTGCAACTTTTCACATTGAGCAATTTGAATGGTTGAGATTGTGATTGCTTGAATGTTTGTGCGATTCATAATGTGTTTTTTTTCCAATATCTAGGCACCTCAATTTTCAACTGAGACTAAACAGTTAATATGGTTACATCATTCTTTTCCTATCAATCCATTGACGCCCTTAAATGCACGTAGTTTTAACTGCTGAAAATGGTCTGATTATGGTCACTACTGAATGCTGTCCCTGCTCACAAGTACGTTGTTCATAGAATTGCTGATTAATGTGGTTAATAGTAAATTGGCTGGTTTCCCTGAAGGATGATGCAAATCGCATTAAACACTTGTAAAATGTTATGGTGCGTCAGTCTTCCATCTTGTCCAATCTCTGGACTCAGTAATGCATCAAATAGAACTTAATGTCTACAGATTCATTAACGTATCAAACAGAATAAATGCCTCAAGGGCATGGTCCACAATTAACATTTCCAAATAATGTATGTCTTTACTTTTTCTGCTTTTCTTTTCCCATTGTATTAATTTATTTGTTTTGGCCTGGTTCAACAATTTACGTTTACAATTTTCTCTAAAGCTGCATCATTTCTGTTCCTGTGTCAAGGTTCAAACTGTAGAGGAACAAGTAAGAGCTTCAGCAGAACACAAACTAGGAGTTGCAAATCAGAGCATCACTGCCGGCTTTTTTGATAATAATACCAGGTTTTTGTTGAACTGCTTGATGAAATCTTATTATCAATTGTGTATCCATAATTCCCTTAGTTGCATGCTAACCTTTTAGCCAATCAACAACAGTGCAGAAGATAGAAGAGAATACTTGGAGTCCCTTCTGCGGGAGTGCAAGAAGGAAGAAGCTTCACCTGTTTTGGGTGATGATGCTTTGAATGATCTTATAGCCCGCAGGTTGGTTTCCTTCTCTGGCTTATTGAATAATTTGGTCTTACATATTCGTAAATTGCCTGGTTACGAAGTATGTAAGGTTGGCAATTGCTGGCATTAAAGTCCAAAACAGTGGGTTTAGCTTTTAAATTGACACATCTTGTCTGTGGCTGAAAAATGTGACCGAGATATTTGCTTTTTTCTGAGATAATGAGTTCTAAGTACTGGGCATACATATTTAGTGAGTTGTATTGTTTGGATCTCTTTGCAATTAAGATTACTTTTTGCAAATTTCTTATGTCTCATGGATGAATCCTGTTCGTAATCTGTGACTCCAGTTTTTCTTTTTGCATCTGGCTGCAAATTTTTGACACTCCGGCTGCAGCATTTCAAATAAACTGTTGTCTGGCTTACTGTATTTTGGTCATTTCTAATGATAATTTTGTGTTACAGTGAATCAGAAATTGATATATTTGAATCGGTTGACAAAAAAAGGCGAGAAGAAGAGATGGTAATTTGAGAATTCTTGCCATTCCCTGTTTATGGTCCCTTTAGTTTCCATTATCATTAAGTTTTTTGCTTCTTTTCTTAATTTTGAGTGCTACAAACTCCGCAGGGGGCGTGGAGGAAGCTGTTTATAGAGAGTGGGGCTGAAGATCGTGAGTGCTTACCTCCCTTGCCTTCTCGACTTCTCACTGATGACGACCTCAAATTATTCTATGAAGCAATGAAGATATCTGAAGCACCACCACAAGTGGTGGCTTCTAATAGTGGAATGAAAAGGAAGAGTGATTACCTTGGGGGCCTTGATACTCGCCAGTATGGAAGAGGAAAACGAGCGAGAGAGGTTGGTGCATGACTTTCTAATGTTTGACTAAGCATATGCTAGGCATTCCCAAATGAATTAGCATCGCATGGTCAATGCTTGTGCAATTTACTAAATGTATAGTTGTGTCTTGATTGCGTTCAAGTATACATCCTTGAAATGGTAGTGAGAAAATGGTATCACATTCTATTAAGCTACTAGCTAATGTATAGTTCTGCTTCTCCCTCCGTCCTGAAATTTCAATTGCATTTTGTGAATCCACCTTATTTTTTTACTAATGGAAAGATGTGTGATGATTGTGCTCTATGTTTCAATTTTGCCCCTGTTTAAGCTTCATCCTGTATGTATTATACGGTTGCGTCATTATATGTGTAGACCTGAAGATAACATAAACATGATGGACCGGAAATATAGAAATGTTGAGGCCTGTGGACTTATCATGCAGAGTGTTGTTTCCTTCTAATGTGCTAGTAACATGCCATCAAATGCTTTATTTTTCTTGGAAAGTAAACTTTTGGGGCCCTCTTAGTGACCCACCAAAAAATAAAATATGTGGTTATGTATAAAGGGTATAGAGTGGAAAGTGATAAAAGTGTTCTTTTCCATTTTAGGTAAGGGATGATAATTTTGGTACAAACCAAAAAGGAAATAATGAAACTTTTTTGTGGGATGGAGAGAGAGTACTGGTTAATTAGCAACAAAATACAAGGGCAGTTATGGAGTTGGTAGTTTAGATGGGAGCTAAAAGGCAGGGAGACCACCAGACACAATGGTGCTTTCATTCTGTAGGATGTATGGATATAGTCAGTTTGCCCCAACTGTCATGTTTGTATTTCACTTTGGTGGTGTCTGTTTGGATAACAAATAAAAGATATTAGTAATGATGTGTCTATTTGGAGTTATTTAAAGTGGGTGTAAACCATATATATTTTAAATCACCAGTTATTAGGCAAGCAAAAACTCAAAACTCGCATAACATTGATTGATGGGCATGCATTGTTCATTTTCTAGTAAAGAAATAGGAGAAGCTTATTTGCAGTAAGGGAACAAAATGATTTTATGAGCTGGATATTGCTGAATAGTGCTTTGGTATTCAAGTATTATGGGAACAAAATGAATTTATCAGTTGGATATTGCTGAATAGTGCTTTGGTATTCAAGTCTTGTGGGAACAAAATGAATTTATTAGTTGGATATTAGTGATTAGTGCTTTGGTAGCCAAGTATTATTGAAATTGCCTTGCTGTTAATAATTGTTGGTGCGTTTTGTAATTAGGTACGATCCTATGAAGAGCAATGGACTGAGGAAGAATTTGAAAAAATGTGCCAAGCTGATTCACCAGGATCCCCTCAAGTGAAGGAGGAGATCATAGAAAGGAAATTGTCAGCCGTTATTAGTGACTGTTTCATGTTGACTGGTGAAACACAGGCACAGATGCCACAGCAACCATTGAACCCTATTGTTCAGCCAGCGGCAGAACCAAGCAAAGAGGTAACTCCACCATCTAAACGCGGACGTGGTAGGCCAAGAAGAACACCAACTACTACGGAATTATTGCCCTCTCCAGGGGCTCTTCTAGCATCTTCTGGAGTACAACCAATGAATGCTATGCCCAAGACGGAAAATGTCTCCTGCTCTCAGGTGGTTTCTCTTTCTGAAGGTTTGCAAGATTTGGCTCCTGAGAACACTTCACTGTGACTGTCCAGCAAATTGTCGTGGGAAGTGATCCTGGCGTGCAGTCAGTTTCTCTACCTCCTGTTACTCCTGCAGTTCCGCCTACTACTCTTCCGTGCCCTTCCACACCTGTACAAGGAAGGGGCCGAGGTCGTAAGGCACAATCTGCTGGAGAAGCTCCAAGACGTAGAGGTAAGAGACTGAATACTGTAGTTGTTCCTTCTCCAACACCGACAGCAATAGGCAAGCCTGAGTTTGAGACCCTGGTAGAAGGAGCTTCAAGCTCTTTGAGAGCCTGTAATCCTGATCCTTCATCTCAACCTTCAAATGTGGTAGACAATACTGAAAAACGGACTCTGGTTTCACATGTTCCTCTTCTGTCATCTTCTGCGATGAGCAAATCAGACTTGGGATCTCAAGAAGTGTCTGTTTTGAACTCAACAATGCCAGTTTCTGATGCTTTTCCCTCTCTTTGGTTATGGCTGCTCCAAATTCCTCAAGTATACCTACTGATGCTTTTCCTAGTTCTTTGGTCACTGCTGGTGTTACTCAACAAGATCCCCTTGCAAGGACTGCTCTTGCTGTTAATCCAGTCCCAGCTCCTCCTTTTCCTTCTGTTATTTCTGGTTCACAGTCTACTGCCCTTGCCCATCCTGCACCAGCGCGAGGCAGAGGACGAGGCCGCAAGGCTCAAAGTGGAGCAGAGGCACCTAGACGCAGAGGAAAGAGACATAATCTTCAAACACCTGTTTCTTTTGAAGTATCAATTGATCAGGATCCAAGATCAGTTGAACCTCCTGAAAAAAAATCCAGGGTGTCTGTTGGGAGGAGGCCCACCACGAGAAATAAGCAGGAGCATGATGGTTTGAAACAGGCAAATGTCTCAGTTCCTTCCCAAAGTATTACTGATTCTGTGATTGGAAAATTTGATACTAGGCCAGAAAATGGAGCTCAAAAACCAACGGACATTACCCAGTTAGATGCATCTAAAAACTTTGTGGATTCTGTTGGACCCCTTGTTGATAATAAGCAGGATAATGGAGTTTTGAAACCAGTTAATATTGTTCAAACAGTTGCATCTCAAGGCAGTGCAGAACCTTCTTCCGATGAAATGAATAAAGATCATGAGAATCAAACTCAAGATAAAACCAATTCTATACTGTCAAATGCATCTCAAAACATGAAGTATCTTCCTATGGGTGAAGTTTGTGATGGTAAACCAGAAAGTGAAGCGAGACTGATAAACAGCTGCAACTCTGATGCATCCAGGGTATTTACTGATCCTCCCACGATTAAAGAAAGTAAAGATGAGACAGAAAGTGAAGGTAGGAGACTTAAAGATATCCAATTGGATTTATCTACTGGATTTGGGGATTCTTCAGTCGCAAGCATAAGCCAGTATAAACAGGGGAATACAGCTGAGAAAGAGATGAACATTATACAGTCTGATCCATGTCAGAGCAGAGAAGATGGTACCCCAGCCCAAGCTAGTGAGGCGGAGGATAACAGAACCGATAAATCAGCTTGTGATGTTGAGGCCGATGCATCTCAGTTCATTGCAGATCCTTCCAGGGGACACAGGCAGGAGAGTGAAGCCGAGGGGCAAGCAAATACCGGTCAAATGGTTGCATCTCAAAGTGTTTTAGATCCTGCTGGAGTACAAGTTAATACTAGTGTGCAAACGAATGATGCTCCCATAGTGGATAATGTTGTGGAATTGGATTCATCTCAAAATATTGCATATCCCCAGCTGTTGAGGTCCAGGATAATCAGGGAACAGAAGCTCAGAAGGACATTGATATTCAATTGGAAACTGCTGCTATACTTTCTGGATCAGTTCCCATAATTGAGAGTGCAGATGATAGGTGTTGCTGTGAACATAAGAAGGAAGTTGAGGATGAGATGGAAGAGGAGAACAGAACTGATACATCAGCTTGTGATGTTGAGTCTCATGCATCTCAGTTCATTGCAGATCCTTCCAGGGGACGGGGGCAGGAGAGAGAAGCTGAAGGGCAAACAAATACTGGTCAAATGGATGCATCTCAAAGTGTTTAGATCCTGCTGTTGTACAAGTTAATGCAAGTTTGCAAAAGAATGATTCTCCCATAGTGGATAATGTTGTGGAATCAGATTCACCTCGAAACATTGCAGATCCCTTAGATGTTGAGTTCCAGGATAATCAGGGAACTGAAGCTCAGAAAGACACTGATATTCAGTCAGATACTACTGCTATACTTTTTGGGTCAGTTCCCATAATTGAGAGTGCAGGTGATAGATGTCGCAGTGAACGTGGGAAGGAAGTTGGGTATGAGATGGAAGAGGTGGAGAGCTCCTTTTTGGATCTACATCCAACTATTTCAGCTTCAGTCACCCCAGTTTCTGGTCTTTTGCACAGATCTGTTGATCAAGCTAAAACTGAGGAACAGGTTGCAAAAGATTCTTTTCCGGATCCAGGCTGTGTGTCAGCTCCGCCAACAAAGGAAAATGCAGCTCGAGATAAAAACGTTGCTTTGAAAAAGTCTGATGATTTCTGTGCAGAACTTGAAACTAAAAAAGAAGAAATCGAGGCAGGTGTAAATGATTTTCTTGCCTTAAAGCCTGAGGTGGATGCGAAAATTCTCTTGCAAGAAAATTCACATTCTTTGGTGGTGGTTGAACCGATTGTTGTAGCCTCAAGCTCTAGTGTGTGCAATCCTGAAAATCAATCAGGTGAGGAGCATGCAAAAAGTAAGTTTCTGGATGATTCCGTTGTTTCAGACCCTGGATTGACTGAGAATACAATTTACTCTGACAAAGGTGCAGACAACCCACTTTTGCTGATGTCAAGTGATTCAGACCCTTTGACACTGAATGATCAAAGGTGTGATGGTAAGACTTGTGCAACTGTACCAACTTTTGCATCGATGGGTTCAAGTGGTGCAGTTGTTATGTCTGAAAATCCAAGTGGAAAGCTTAGTGATGGAGAAGTTGAGCAAACCTCAGATTTATTGGAAGAGGGAACAACTGCTCCTGATTCTGAGAATTTTGGAGGATATATCTGAGATTCATTCTAAGAAAACATTCCCAGAAGAGAACAAGAAGCAAGACAATCTTCTGAGTCAGGATTCTGTTTCAGTTTTATTTTCTGCTGAGAATGTGGCTTCTGTACTGGATAATGCTCAAAATAAGTCACAGGATATATGTCAAAATGTAGATGGAAATGATCCAGAGAGCAAAGGCTCTGGTTTGGATGAGGTCATCGTGTTCAAGCATGAGTTCACTCGTGCTGGGGAAATCAAGCAAAAGGATTCTGCTTTTGATGGACCCCAAACCTCAGATTTGTTGAACGAGGCAATAGCTGCTTCTGATTCTGGGGCTTTGACAGAGATATCTCATTGTGATAAAATTGCCACAGATCAGTATGAGAAGCAAGACACTGTTCCGTGTCAGGATTCGATTTCAGTTGTATCTTCTATTGAGAATGTGGTTTCTGTTGTGGATCAAGCTCCAGAAAACTCACAGGACACATGTCAAAAGGAAGATGGAAATGACCTTAAGAGGAAAGCTACTGGTTTGGTTGAGGTTTCTGTATTAAAGAATGAGTTGACCATGACACTGGAAACTTCATCTCAAACTCTGAGAGCTTCAGAAGTGGCTCCGGTATTAGATACTACTGTAAAAGAAACTAGGAATCAGGCCACAGAAGAGGATGCTAATGGATGGGGGAGTAAAGATTCATTCTGTAATGGAGTCTGTTGTTCCTAAGCCTGAAGTGTCAGAGGTTGAAGCTTGTCCTGGGAAAGCAGATGCTGAAGGGCTTCAAAGCAGAGGCTGTTTTGTGGAGAGTGCCAATGCTCCTGTTTCAATGTATGGCATAGCAAATAACCAATCTTTGGTTCAAAATACATCCCCACCCGTTCATCTCTTGAAATTGAAGAACTGGTAGCTGATCTTCCAAATGAAGAATGTGTGAAAGAGGCTGATGATCAATTTCAGGTGGGACAGGTTGGAACAACTATAACTGAGGCTTTTGTTCCAGCACCTGATAGCGGTGATTTTGTTAGTAAATCATCATCAATGATTGTACTGAGCTAAGAGAGGATTTTGAGGTGAAAAAATCTTCAATTACTTGTGATGGAACAACTGAAGAGAAGTCTGATTTTCAAGCTAGTGAAGATTATGCAACTGAAGTGCTAGAGACCAAGAATATGGAGGTTGAACCAGATGCAAGCCTTGTATTTGAGACCTTTAAGGGCATAGAAGAGAGGGTTGTTTCAAATGCTGAAATAAATGTCACCAGTCATAGTCCCAATGAAGGAAAATCTGAAAATTTGGTTGACTCCAAAATTATCGAAGAAAAGCCTGTGAAGGATATTGATAGAGAAGTTACTGAATTTACCGTGCAGACTAGCAACTTGAAGGATGATCTGCCTGAGATGGCTGAGGTTGATTGTGATTCTAGAACAGATGATTCAGGAAAACATGAAAGCCAAGACAGCATACTAGAAAAGGACTCTGCTACAACTGCTGTGGTAAGTGGTGCTCAAACTTTGGAGGAAATGACATCCTCAACTTGTTTAGTGCTCGAGACAAACAGACTTAATGGTAATAATGAGCAATCTGAAAATGAGGCAGACTTGCAACATTTTGAAGAAATCATTCCAATTAATATTAGTAAAGAGGTCAGTGTATCCTCTATGAAGAGTGTTAATTTGATTGATGCTCTACCAGAGATGGCTGTGGGTGAAGATGATTCTAAACTAGCTGATTCTGAGATACTTGCAGCCACTGACCACATTCTAGAAAATGTTTCTGTTTCAACACTTGAGGCAACTAGAGTGCAAAATTTGGAGGAAACAACACCATCAACCATTTTAGTGCTTGAGACAGAAGGTTTAGTTGTTCAGCCTCCGAAAAATAACTGCGATGAGCAATCTGACAAAGATATTGAAATGGTAGATGGAAGTGTCCCTGATTTAAGCGCATCTTCCATTGCAGCAGCCGAGTGTTGTGAAATTGATACCAAGTCTGCCACTAATTTGCTGGAGAATATGGTTGATTCCATACAGGTGCTGAGGAAGAAGCATCTCTGCCCTTGGAAATAGCTAGTCAAGATGTCACACCTGCTGAAGTGGCTGAGAAGTCCGAGATTGGATCTGGTAGAAATTTTGTAGCTGAAGCACATGGGAGCGAAAATGCTGAAATGGATGACACTCTGGTTGCTGCTGCTGAAGCTAGTGAACCTAAACCTTATGTGGACTTAGGGACAACTGAAAGTAAAGATGCTTCTACTAATATGGAGAACATGGCTGGTTGCAGACACAACATTGAGGAAGAAGCACCACAGGCACCTCCATCCTTGGAAATAGCTAGTGAAGATGTTACACCTGCTGAAACTCTTGCAGACAAGTCTGAGGTAGGATCTGGAAGAGATGATGATGATGAAGTAAAAGGCAGCAAAAGGGCTGAACTGGTCAAAGTAGTAGTTACAGATGCTGAAGCTAGTGAACTTCAACCTTGTATGGATGCTGGAGCACCTGAAAATAAAGATGGTTCTGCTAATTTGTTGGAGAACAGGGTTAATTCCAGACACAGGAGTGAGGACGAGGCATCCTCATCGTTGGAAATAGCTAGTCAGGATGCTACGCCTGCTGAATTTCTTGCGGAGAAGTCTGAGATTGGATCTGGAGGAGATTTTGTAGCTGGAGTACAAAGAAGTGGAAGGACTCAACTGGACAAAACTGTTGTTGCAGATGCTGAAACTAGTGAAACTCAACCTCACACTTATGGGGAAGCCTCTGAAAGTGAAGATAGTTCTGCTAGTTTGTTGGACAAAATAGTTGATTCCAGACAGAGCATTGGGGAAGAAGCTTCTTTGTCCTCAGTAATGGCTAGCCAAGATGTTACACCTGCTGAAGGTTTTGTGGAGAATTCTGAGAATGGATGTGGTAGAGAATCTGTAGCTGCTGTACAAGGGACCAGTAGTGCTGAACTGGACAAAACTGTTGTCGCATATACTGAAGCTAGTGGACCTCAACCTTGTACAAATCAGGGAGCATCTGAAAGTAAAGATGGTTTACAACAGCTTGTTGAAGAGTACTCGGACATGGCTAGTGATATGTAGTCTTCGCTTCGGACATGCCACATTGCAATTCCTGGTTAGTTATAATCCAGATATTCTTTAGACTTTGGACTTTGTGACTCTATCCTGATATTGAAAGGAGTTTGGCTGGCTTATCGATCAATTTCTTTAATTTAGATCTGCTGTGTGGTATTATTAGTCTTTATTTGCTGCCTATACTATAGTAGTGATTCCCAACAAAGAAGAGGGGGAAACATGAATTGAATGTATAGTTGCACTTTTAATGATCTACTGACTCATGTACAGTGTTCCGACTTGGATGTTTAAGTTCAGTTGAAGTGTTCCCAATCTTTATCCGGGTTTGACTTGGATGTATATGCCTCTTCTTTTGTCTCACTCGTTGCATTTCTTGCTCCATCCTAATTCATTTTTTGTCCTTGTGCTACACTTAACTCTTTTTTTTTTTTTTTTTTTCCCGTTTCTGTTTGCAGTTTGGAAGCATTTGGTCAATTCGTGGGTGGCTTTTTCTTTCGGGTTGTGATTCAATTGTTGGTTGGCTTTGAGGCTCCAAAAATCCTGCTCTGGTATAGCTGTCCATCTGTGTGCGTGCTGCTCTAATAATTTCTAACAATGTTTTCCATGCACGATACACTGAGGAGAGTTGGCTTGAAAGCATGATTATTTTTCCCTGTTTTTCATTTGAGTATTTCCTTTCTGGTGGAAATAATTGCGCTATTGTTTTCTTCTCGGTGGTTAATTGCTATTCTGTGGTTGGGACCGCAAATGCCATGGCTCATAAGATGCTGCAGCAGTAACGATGATGTTATTTTGTTGATTTGATCACACAGCCACTGGGATGACTCTGAATATGAACTCTCTCTCTCTCTCTCTCTCTCTCTCTCACATGCTATAATTTGATGGCCATTAAGGCGGGAAGGATCAGATTTGCTATTTGCTCTCCCAAATTTTGTAGCTTGCTTGTACATCTTCTCTGAACGGGATTTTACACTTTCCTTGGGGATGGAAAAAACAAACATGTACTAAAACGCACAAAAAGCATGTCTACAAATCCTTGATCGAGAGAATGTATTATGTGCTTGTCGCTTTACAAATCTGCAAATTCATGTGGTGTATAGATTTTCATATACTCTTGCCCCTAGTGTCAGTGGCTTGGCGAAATGTTTGTTGTTCCAATTGTCTTCTCTCTCCCTCCATTCCAGTAAAAGAGAATATTTGAACACAGACCAATGTTTGTTTGCTTTAGCGGGATGTAATTTTTTTTCATCAAAATTTCATCCGACATCTCAAGCTTTATCCTTCAAATGAAATTCCAGGAAAGATGCGTAAGATTTTGCGATGTGATTTTAAATCGCGAATGCATCACCGACACGAGCTCATCTCTGATTTGCTATTTGTTTCCTCTCTTCTATTGGCAGTCCGCATTAGGAGGTTCAAAAGAAGGTTATGAAAAACTAGAGCTGCCTGCAGTGATGGAAGCTAAAATTTGTTTGAATAGGGTGGGAAAAAATTATGTTTATTTTGTGAAATTTTCTTAACATTAATATGATGACTAGATAAAAGTTAGATCTTTTTGTCTTGTTCCGTATTTGGTCTCAACGATGTGGACATGATGCCTTCTTGTGAAGCTTTTTGGGTATCTTTTCATTGTTTTAGGAAATGTCTTTTGGAATTTAAGAAAGAATCATGTGTTTTGAATCTTGATTTATCTCTCAAGATTGTCTCTAACCCTAGAGGTAAAGGTACGAACAAGGAATAAAGTTTGGGAGTGGGAGAGTTTGAAAATGTTTGTACATTATTTTGGTTTAATTTAAGCAAGTGGAAGAAGGGGAAGAGAGAAGATTGTATTAATCACATTAAAAAAAAAACAAAAAAGAAAAAGAAAGCTTGTATCACATACAAAAGTATCTATTTACAATGGAAGATGAAGAGTAGACATTCTTAGGGAGACTAGAAAAAGGAAAAGAATAAAATTATGAAAATTAATAGTAAAGCATGTCTTGACGTGTATTCAAAATTAAAATGGATCCATTGTTGCATGTTAAAAAAATATATATTGAAACTTAAATAACATTCACAAGGTCATGGGAATCTAGAAGGTCATGGGAACTAATAAATCAGAGTAATCATAATTTGAATCTAGAAGCGTTAATACTATTTATCATAATTCTTTAACATAATCTAGCATTTTATCAACCCTGGAACAAATCCACTTAATCAACCAAGCAACCAAAGTGTGGATGTCAAAATTACATTTCATGGAATATATTTTATAAACAATTCATGAGTTGAATCTCTTTGCCCTCTGGAGCTTGGTCTGGCGGTTGAGGTTGCTGAAAATGGAGCCTTAGATCCCTGGTTGTCAGCAAGTTGTGGAGGGTGGGGAATAGTTTGAGGGGTCCACTTCCTGCGGGACACCCCTAAAAAAAAAGAATCTTTTTAATATTTGTTTTAGCATTTCTTTAGCAAATACTTCTTATTTCCCAAAATCATCCACTCAATATATTGTTCTTTCTAAATTCAATGGAACTCCAGAATTAAATACCCTGAAATACATTATTCAAAGAATATATCCATAAGGATGTCAATGGTGCCCTGATGATTGTACAAAAGCTCAAAAGTACTATGAACTCTTTTCTCTTGACGCTGTATCTATGGAAATTCTTCATAGATTGGACAATAGAAATCTAAACCATATAGCCTTTTCAAAATGTATAATTAAGAAGGTTTGTAAGCCTAATGAATAGGCTTCTCTTTATTCCAAAAAGAAATTTTTTGTTCGAGTTATTCCAAATGGATATACATATCAGGATTACAAAATGGCTTGGTACAGGGCCTTTCTATTTCGGCCATTTGATCAGAATCATTCTTGGTTTTCACTTCTGATCAAATGGCTGAAACAGAAATGCTTTATACCAAGCCATTTTGTAATTCTGATATGTATATTCATCTAAAATGAATCAGCTAGAAGATTTCTTTTTGGAATAAAGAGAAGCCCATTCAATAGGCTCACAAACCTCCTTATTATGCATTTTGAAAAGACTATTTGGCTTGGATTTCTATTGTTTGGTTTATAAAAAATGTTCACAGATTCAGAGTCAAGAAGAATGAGTTCATAGCACCTTTGAGTTTTGTAGAATCATCAAGACACCATTGACATCCTTCTGGATATATCCTTTGAATAAGGTGTTTTAGGTTGTGTAGTTTTGGGACTTCATTGAATTTAGTAAGAACAATATGTTGAGTGGATGATTTTGTGAAACGAGAAGTAGTTGCTGAAGAAACATTTTGAGATTGGGATTGTTTCTGAGACGGTTTTGGAAATGAAAGAGTTTGAGAATATGGAAGTGGAGGAAAACCTTGAAAAGCTTAAAATTGGTTTGAAACTGGTATTGAATTCATAGTCTTAGGCTGATTGAATTCTTGGAATTCTTTCTTTATCTTTATTGTGTTTTGAAACGCTCATTTTTCCTTGTCAGAAATTCTTTTGTTAGAAAACAAGGAAGTGAATTATTTTCTCATCGATGAATTCAATTTCAAAATCAAATACTGATAAAATAGCTTGCCATATGATAGAAATTTATTTTGAAATAATATTTGGTACATCCTTTTGAAAAACTTCTTTTGCAGATTTACAATCAATTCTCAAAAGGAATATTTTATTGTATAAATCATCTTGAAATTTTAAAATATAAAATACTATTGATAAAATTTCCTTTTTAATAGTAGAATAGCTCTTTGGGGTCTAAGCCAGACTCCTGAATGAAACCTAACTAATTGTTCTACTGACCTTGAGATTTTTGTTTTAGAGGTATCCATTTCTACTATCATGAATGCGGATGGATGAGAAATTCCTAAACATGATAGTGATCTAACTTTTTTCTTTAAACATGTGAACTATATGAGTATGTTGATTAGACTGTGCTGGTGGATTTTTCTATCATCTTTGAAATAATGGAGCACAAATTTGGTGTAATTTTGAAAAGAAATTTAAAATTTTAAGGTTTGAAGTGGAGGATGCACTAATGATGCTACTTGTTCATTTAAACGAGTCCACTTTTTTTTTTTTTTTTTTGTAAAAATT